TAATTTAAAGGAGACCACAGTTATTTTAAAATACCTCCCATTGATGTTCTGTTTTTATTCTGTTGTCATTACATCGTTGACTTCTACCTCTTGTCTCCTCTTACTTCCAGCACTGAAGCACACATCTCCAAGACCAGTGGGTAGGTTGTATGGCTATAAGCAATACACTAATCACACCAATCACTTCAAATTTTCAATACGGTATCATTTCAAACATGAAGCAAACCAATCTATATATTTCCATAGACATATTTAGCATTACAGTGTCTGCTGTGGGTAATACAAAATGATATTGTTAATCTTCACAAATATAAAAATGACTTTTGTGGTGTGTCTAAAAGCATCTATTAAACAATAGTTCAAGTTCAAGACCTTTATTTGTCCCTAAGGGGCGATTAGTTTTGCTGCAGTAGCAAAGAAGTTGACACCAGTACATAACAACAAAGATAACATCGATTAAAAATACAGGACCAATGGGTAAATGAATACCACAAACATTAAAAGTTTAAGTTCAAGTGAGCCTTATGTGCAGACTTACTATTCTTTACAGAATTAAGCAGAGAGATAGCAGAAGGTACGAGAATTTATCGATTTGTTTGCTGGTGTTGACTGAAGCGGGAATCAGAAGGCAGCATCTTAAATTCTGCATGCAGGGGGTGAGAACTATCAGACATGAGGATTCTGCCTTTTTAAGCACATGTCTGTTGTACAGTTCAGTTAGTTTTTCTGCTGAATCCCAATGATTTTGCTTATACTTTTTACCATGCTAATGTGTTTTTTTCCGTTTTAAACTAAGAAGCATACCAGCAAATACATGAAAAAGTAAAGACGGACTCAGTAAAGATTTATAAAACAATGTCATCAGGGATCTGTCCACTTGAACTTAGCTAGCTTTCTCAGACAGAAAACGTTGCTGACTTTTCTTACTCAGCATATCTGTGTTTAGTCAAAGGTCAACTTGTTATCAATGATGATTCCCAGATAATTATATGACTCAACATTTCAACCTCTTTAACATCTATAATCATCTTTTCAGGAGTTGGATGGTGACGTCTAAATCAATGCACATGTCCTTTGTCTTTGTAACATTTAAGTCTAAAAGGCTTCTTTTAAAAAATAGAGTAGTCCAGGGCCGTGAGATGTTTCAGTGGAGTCCATTAAACTTACTACGACTTTACGATATAGTTATTGGCAACTACGGCAGTTGTTAGTTACATAATGTATAAAAGAGAGAGACACAGCCTTGAGGGGAGCCGAATAATCAAACAATGAACAAATAATCTCTCTCACATTATCACTCCTGTGATCTTTTACCTTACTTTGTCTCTTCCTGTTCACATCCGTCACTTGATCTTCTCTTATTTTTTCCCTTTCTATTTTCTAGGAGCTGCCGCTCTCTGTGGGTTGGGAACATTACATTGGAAGTTACAGAGAAAGACCTCTGGATCTCTTTAAAATGTACAAACACATTGTGTTTATGTTCACTCATTATTAATAGTGAACACTGTCAAACACCCAAGTAAAGTCAGTTTACCTTTTGGTTTAGGACATGGCATGTTATATCATCATTAGTGCAACTGCAGATTGATATAAGATAAGAACATTATTTTAAGACACCTGCATGAAGCATCGCAGGTAGGTAAACTGCACTAATAAAGACACACATGGTGGAGACTAGACTTGTGAAGATGGGACACGGCTGTGTTACAGTGTAATGAGAGTAAAAGTGGGAGTAGTAGTAGTTGTAGATACAGTAGGCTAGTTACAGAGATATAGGTATGAAGTAGTAGCAGCTTTGGCATAGTTACAGTAGTAGGTAAAGTAGTACTTGTAGCAGGATTAACTCTAGTGCTACTAGTTGTAATAGTATCACTACCAGCAGTAGTGGAAGAGTTGGTGTACTACTGTTACTGTTATTATATAATTTACACCATGAATTGTCAACACTTTGCCTGCAGATTGTACCGCACTGCTTTGCTGTAGTTTAGAGGCTCTGCGTTTCCATGGTTACAGGTTTGGTGAGATTGAGAGCATCAAAGTTCTTCACGAGCGTTTCTGTGCCTTTGTCAACTTCAAGAATGCCAACATGGCTGCCAAAGCCCTGGAGAAGCTGCAGGTGAGTAATAGGTAGGCTTAGTTTTCAGGGGAACAAACTCGACTTGATGTTTATCATCTCGGATGTTATTGTCTGAGTATGTTAACGTGCAGTTTTGTACAGCACAGTTGGTCAAACTTTAGACTTGTCTAAAGTTTGACCAACTGTGCTGTTTCATCCTGTCCAGGGGTGGAGCTGGGGAGCAACAAGCTGGTGATGAGATACCCAGACCGCTGGATCCAGCGGACCGCGCCCCCCATGCAAAGGACCAACACTAACCTCAGCAACAACACTGCAGGAACACAGCAGAGCTTAGCTGTCATAGGGTACCGAGTAACTTACTGATAACATGTGTATCTGTGTTTGTTGTGCCTTTTTTCTTTGCAAAAATTCCCGCTCATGACATGTTTGAGTTGTTTAGGGTTTAGAGATTAGCATTGGTTATGAATTAATGTTAGACATGTCAGTGTGTGACAGTGTAGGCTGTTAGGTGTGGATTTTGGGAATACATTCTCCACATTGATGATCCTTTTCCACCATTTTTTCTTGCACAGTAAAAAAAAAAAAGGCAGCACAAAACAAAAGGACAACTTGTAAAACACAAATACTGCTTTATTAAAGGTTTAAAAACTGTTAATGATCCTAAAATTATTATGGTTTCTCCCTATTGTGCATTTGCAGTAGTGTATGTACTTTAGATTCAAAGTCAAGTGAAACTGTTCTCTTCTAGGAAATCTCATAATGCTGGTGATTCAAATTGAAAGAGAAAATCCCAGTTCCTTATTTCTTATTAGGGCTCAAGTTGGCCAACAACTTCCAGGTCCACTAAACAGGGATTTGAAACACACCATAATCACAGTACAATCCTTTTTACACGAAGTGAACACATGTGGCCCAGTGGAATTTTCTGTGATATAATGCAGGATCTTCTTCTCCTGGTTCTGTCCACGCAGGTCCAGACGGTGTGTACCAATAGATGGAGATGTGTGCTTCTACTGGCAGACCACAGGCTGTTTCTATGGTGACAAGTGCCGCTTCAAACACATACCAGATCAACAAGGTCGAGACAAGAAACCATGAACACCCTAACTATATCCCTACCCTCCCAAACCTAGCACCAAGGCACACCAAAGAAGGATTACTAAGAGAGGAGGAACAAGAAGGACAGTGAGCAGAGTGGAGGACAGAGAACGAGAAGATGGTCTGCCTGAGAAAACTGACAACTGAAGTGTGTGAGAAAAGAAAGAGAGTCAGATGTGGTATTTATGTGATAGCCAAAGTCAGGGGTTGCAACTCTGACATGAGAGACTTTGGCAACGTCCAGAGCCCACCCTCAGAGAGGCGCTTAAAGAATCAATTAATACGATACCACAAACCCTCTAATGCAAGAAGGTCTTCAAAGGAATTTAATTCATTTGAAATGTCACTGAAAACCCCCACAGAAGAACCCTTGAGATCCCTGCTCTGTTGGAAGTAAGTTATCAGTCATCAAAATGTTTTATCTGGACAAATACATTTGGTTGACCATATTGGAAACACTACCAAAACCCAGTTCTGTGACAAACTCTTTCACACCACTGTAGAATTGCTTTAAAGACAAAATGTATTTTCATGAAACATTTGAAATGTATACTGTACATATTTGCACAAAACAATAAACCAATGAAACCCACATAAAATTTTTTTGAGTTTATTCAGCACGGTTTATAAAACCTGACTTGCACATCAAAACACATTTTTTGTTATGATTGCTGCAGTGAAGGGTGGGGAATAGTCACACATATTAACTAAAGTGAAGGCACTAAAGATCATATTATGTAGCACACTTACTATCTAGGACATTTTGGTCAAAGTAGTAATTTTCCAGGACTTTCCCTCCAGGAAGATACTGCCACAAGACTACAACCGTGCCAAAAGTAAGTGTCCAAATAAGGTATGGTATTTGGTTCAAGTCAAGATACTACGTCCTAAGTTATTCTGTGTGTCATTCAAGCCCCCTGCAACACTTTCTCCATAGAGGCAGTCTGTAATGAAACTAAATAAAGATAATGTCGTTCTGGGGTCACGTAACAATGGATAGCCTTGCATCCTTTATCAAAACAGCTGCGTCAGTCAGTCGACTAAGAAGGCAGAGAGGAGGGACAGAGTCTGACCTGCTGTTTAGAGAGTCACAGACTGTCGCCTTAGTTCAGCATTTGACCCTAACATGACCAGGGGATAGCTAGCTGTGTCACAGTATCTTGGTATGTTTAATATAAGCACATGTTTGATCCTGTGCTAATGTTGACTAATGCTAGTCACACACATCTTTGTAAAAGACCAGTGATGAAGTTATATCTGCCCAGTAATACTTTAGCATTTCACTCTGTGTGGCTTTCTTGGATTTTTAGTTCATTTATAGCAGATTCTTTCCACAGAAGATACTGAATACTAAACATAGTAGCCTACTTGCTTTTACACTTACTCATGGGGACCCTACTATCTTCCCACTGGCTCACAGATCTGGGATCTCCAGATGTAAAGTCTGCAGGTGGCAATCAGCAGCTGGATCAATCATTGCTGTTTTCCTGTCTCTAGTCCTGTTGTTTGCATGTGGATTAGTTGAGTAGTTCAGTGTAAATGTGAACTTTAAGTCAGGAAAATCCATTTGAAGTTATGGGAAGATGTACGGGACATTGTATCTTCCCGCACCGCTTGTCTTTTTAGATAGTTTAACTCCAGACAGTCCTGTTTAGTACTGATGGCAGGATGATTTCAGATCAGATTTTTTCTGTCACAAAATGTCCTCACGAAGTTGTGAGGATGGGCAGTGCAGGTGCTTACAGGCCTCAAACTATTCTTAAATTTTGTTTTCCAATGATGTGAAGCGGACGTTTTGAGCAATCTGGTCTCTATTTTGTACAGCTGCCAGCCACAAGGATCACACACATTGTTTTTTTTCACAACCACATCCTTTTCAAGCTAAAGTTGCCCATGCACGATCTACCTGCTGTTTTAACAAGCAGAGATGAGAGGAGCAGCTATGGGTTTAACAGCAGCAACAAGTGGATTTGATGTGTGACGAGATGCAATGTGCTGCAGACTTTACAGGACAACCTTAATTGACTGTACAGTAGCCTACAACTGGAAGTGCATTAATAATTCATATTAGGAATCTTGACAGCTTGCCACCAATTACAGTCAATGATCTTGGCAACTGTCTGGTGTTAGGCGCCGACACCAGTCTACAATTCAAATTAAGTCTTTAAGCCTATGTCCAATTAACAAGTGGGTGGGTACAGGAACTTAAGATCTACAGGCCAAATGCAGACTATGCAAAGGTTAAGAGTTAAGACAACTAACTGAATGCTAAGGACACTTTGGCTAATCATGCATAATTATATCTATCTAGCTATAAGAAAAACATATTGTTAGCCTACCTTTATGTCTGAATGTATATGCCATATTTCATGTTGTGAAGGTTCACTCTAATGTTCTGTGTTATTTCAGCAGTTCTCTTTTACAATTACAGTAAATAGCCAGCGGGTGGCGTTCTTACCCTTGTAGATGTATCCGAGTTACACAGAGTTGAAAGGGTTGAGACAACCTATGTAGTAGTGATAGTGTGCAGGTGACAGTTGTGAAAATAGGTGACCTGCTGCTGATGACGTCACATTCCCATTTCCTATCGTCATTTTAAAGGTCCAGTGTGTGATATTTCTTGGGAACCTTGTGACAGAAATACAATGTAAGATCCATAACTATGATTTCAGTGGTGTACAAGTACCTCACATAATGAAACGTTATGTTTTTATTACCCTTTTCAACAAATTGATTATGAAGCGACTGTTTCACACCCTCACAGAGCAGACAGTTGGTTTTAATTTGCAACCTCACCACTAGATGCCACTAAATCTTACACACTTAACCTTTAACTGTATTTATAGAAACAAAAGTAATCATAAATTTCTGGTATTTGGAAAAAAAAGTCACATGTCTGATTGCTTTAAATGTTGCCATGTCTTTTTAATATTGGTGAACAATGTTTATTATATTTGAATGCTAAATTTAAGGTTAGCATGTTGTAATTTTACAAGCACTTATGGTTGCATTTGTATTAGTGATTTAGCATTGCTCAGCAGCACTTGAAGTAATGCCAACATAGCTTGACATTTCACTGCTTTTGTTTTTGCATGTGCATGCTGACATTACATTAGGATAACTCAGTGACACTTGACAGCAATCCAACCTGATTGGACGTCATAACCAGCAAAAGACATTATTCTTCTGCATTCTGTCAATATCACAGCCCAACCTGAGACTGTCTTGTTCTCAAAATTCAAATAAGTTGTTGATGCCTGCATTGTTTAAATGTAAAAACAAAATGTAATTGGTGCTGTTAAAATGCACACGCCTACTTTTACAAGAACGGAAATCCTCTTTCTGCTTTCTAGTTTCAGCTGACACAGCAGAATTGAACGTAAGGCCAGTACGTGCCATAAACGGTCGTACAGACACAGAAACAGGAAATGTTTGTTATTTTATTATTATTGTTTTCACATTTGACCACAGAGAGGAAATTCTCTAAGCAAATGTACTACACGTACATGTACATCTTCCATTGTTCCTTTGCAATATGTAAAACACATTTTTGTATCCCCCCATGCCTTTGTTCATTTAATCAGAACCCAGATATGCTGTTTGGAAACTGTTAACAAAGTTTCGTAAGGTTTGCTGAGGTTATCTTTGCCTCAAGTCATCTTGGCATACCTCCACTGCAGATAAAAGACATCTGATCTTGCATATGTTACATATTGTGAAACTGATTGTGTCTGCTAATGTGTTTGTAATGATCTGTGTTACAGTGGTACAAAGCAGGAATGGGCTGACTCACACTTCTGCTCAGATCTGTGCTGTGAGAGGATCAACAGTCGACGAACGCTGCATCTATAGACAGCCATCCACAGTAAAAAGATGTTCTGGTTTACTGAAATGCAGGAGAAAGGACCCGCGGATCTGAGAACAGACCCAGAGTACGGAGGTCGTTGAAATTTCACTGCGATAGACAACTTGCACTTGAGAGAGAGCGACTCAGCTGAGTACAAGTTCACATTCAAATACAAACAATTCAATAAAAAATAAATAATTACGTATTTGCATATTTATGAGCAGTT